ATTTTATGGAGCAACTCTTCTATTCCTAGAATATATATCCACGAGCAAACTTTCCCTTTCTCTCAGGGTCACCAACCGCTTACGTACAACTGTTACTTTAATTGCATATTACAAGAAGGCATTTTTAAAATTATTTTATACCATATCTAACAAAAATCTAAATTCCAATAAAATTTCTTGAGCTCTACAACTCTAGAAAGGAAATAAAAGCAGTTTTATCTTTTATCTACCTACTTTGTTTATCCGATCCACTGAAGACAAAATATCGCATACGAATGCCATTGCCACTATGGCCAATTCTTGATTGATATGAAGAATAGAAACTGATCATCAATGGAGGGTTGGTTATCAAAAACCCAACTGGATGGTGCCTCTGGTTTTGCACACTAAGAAAACTAGTGTTCCTTGAATCTACAACGGTTATCTTGCTCATTCTGTGAATCATTCAACACAAACAAGTCAGACGAGTTTTATTGGCAGAAAAGCTTTTCATATTATCCGACTTCGTATTTTAATAACCTGGTTCTAAACTGTTCGGGCAAAAACACTCATACCTACCCGCCATGATATCGTCTTAAATCAATGTTGTCGAAGTACACAGCCACTTGTGCATTGGCGACGGAATTTGAAAACGTCCACTGGTAGTTCACCTGCCTCATGTACTGTGGGTAACCTGGACTTTCGATTACTCCTGACAGGTTATTTGTTCGAACCGTATAGACTGCGGAAAAATATATGAATAAAATTTATAGCAATTTGCAATAAAACTAAGAATTGATTAGTTTAGACCACTGCGTTTGGTTATTAACACCACATAAATACGCATGCAGTGTATAGAGATTAGTTCATGGGAGTGCTGGCGTATGGTTTTTATTCATGAGTTGTGAAGTATCATACAACGAATGAGCGAGTTTTTGAGCCTTTTTCCATTGCGTTTTGATGCTGATGCTGATACTGATGCTGAGGAGGAGGAGGAGGAGGAGGAGGCCCTTACGATTCTCCTTGCATAACTCTATGATGGCCGACGTGCCTATTATCATGTTTAGTTTAATTTAGAAGATTCTAGAAAGTTCCATGTAAATTAGGAAGTATTCGAGAGTTCTAGAAATTTCCATTTCCTTTGTAAACACATTGTAGCGACTGACGTACCCCTTCCCTAGTGGGGGACAAAATGCAACAGAGCAAGAGGCTAGTGTGTGCGAGTGAGTCAACTGGTTTGTGTATGGATTATGATAAGTGAATAAATCAAAGAGGCACAACGTTACACTGGTGGCAGCATGGACGAGAACTACGTGGAATCCGTTTACGAATTTTCGCGATGAATTACGTGAATTTCAGTGGCCTCAGTCACATCGCAACGTAGGAAATCCAAATACACCACAACGATCAAGAAATCCATTCCTAAGCGACGACAATCCACTTCAACCGTCAGCTACAAATAACGCGTTTCACGTTGAAGTTCACTACGGTAATTCAAACGTGTTTACTACTTTTTCTAACACGAAAAGCAATAAGTTTCGTAAGGCAGTAAAGCTACCAGACGACTATGATGGTAGCTTCTCACCTCGAGACTATCTAACACATTTCAAACGATGCTCAATTGTTAATGAATGGAATGAAGAGGAATCAGCAATATTTCTGTCCGCATCTTTGCAAGAAGAAGCACAAAAACTGCTTCATGGAATGTCTGCAGAACTTTTCACAAGTTAGTGGCGCGTTTTGAGACATGTTTTGGATTTGAAACTCAACAAGAATTACATCAATAATGATGAAAAGGTAAATTATACACCGTGAAAAGATGTTTTCACGGTGTATAATTTACCTTTTCATCATTACTGTTTCATTAGAAACACCGACGCAGCTCACACTAGTTTTTAGCTAGTTATATCTAAGAATTACATCAAGTACGTCTGAACAACCACCGACAATAAGAAGGGGAAAGTTTCAAGAGTTTAGCCGTCAACATAAGAGATATGTGCAGGCTGGAAAATCAAGATCTTCCCCCAGCAGCTCAAGAACGATTCTGTGTTCAACATTTTATTGACGCCATTGGTGATCAAGACGATCGCATGAAATTACGACGTGATAAGCCCAGAAGCCTAGACATTGCGCTAGCTTTGGCGTGTGATTTGGAAGCCTTTAGACAGAGGGAAAGTGATCTAAGAAAACCAACTTCTAAGCTTAGTCCATCTACTAACTATGTTCGAATGGAAAAAGTGAACGAAACACGATCAAATGAAACAGCAAATGCACCACAGGAGCCCGCCAACACCACACGGGAAAACTCGATGAAATAAAATCACAACAGGAAGCCCAACAGAAGCGGCTATACGAACTGTCGGGGCTATTACAGAAATTAGTAACTAGTGAAAGCAAGGAGAGCCCTACAAAGGCCTATCCATCTGGAACTCCAACAAGAGGAAGACAGGAGACACAAGTAGTCGAATGCTGGTTCTGCAAAGCTAAAGGTTACCTTTGACGTGATTGTTCGTCATGGAAACAACACCAGGAAAACGAGAAGAAGGCCCTCCCGAATGCCCTGGTGAACGTCTGTGTCACGAAGAAGGGCAACAAGATAACAGTGACAATACATCAAATAAGTTACGAGTTTCATTAAGGAATATGTATGGTTTAATTTGTACGTTAAAGGTTTTATCAACAACATGTGTGTAAACTGGCTAGTAGACACTGGTGCAGTGAAATCAATTCTGTCACGCGACATTGCTGAACAGTTATCAAGAAGTACGACAATCAAAACACTGATTTTTTTCTAGCTGATGAAAAGAAGATCGACATTTGTGGTTCATGTTTAGGAACTGTTTCAATTGGGAAGCAATTATGAATGTCAATGTTCTTATTGCTGATATAACAGACCAAGCTATACTGGGTATGGATGTCCTCTCTGAAGCAAATTCAATTGTTGATGTTGTCAGGGGTTATTAATTATCGATGGCGAGCAAGTGGATTGTGTTGACCATGAAAATCAACCACTAAGTTGTAGATGTATACTGCGACGTTCAATTGTAATTCCGCCTAGCTCTGAAATTATTGTTCGTAGACACTTGAAGAAGCTTGGAAAATTTGATGATGTTAACCGTAGAGCAATGCAATAAGACTTGCGTGTCATAGAGCCAAGCAATAACTCTAACCTACTAAATAAGGGACTTTGTATTACTCGTACACTGATAGACGCTAGTAAGTCAGACACTGTTCGTTTGAGAATTCTTAATCTGACAGATGAGCCACAGACAATCCAATCAAACACTACAGTTCAAAGAGTTGACGATTTTGAAATTGGTGATGGAAAACATGATGAGACGGAAATGGACAGTGAAGGTGAATTGCCCAAGCCATTGAATGATTTACTGTCTCGAAGTAGCACATTTCTCAATGACGCTGAACAAAAGCAGGTTAAACAGTTACTCTTGATCTATCAACACGTGTTTGCTCTCTCGGACAGTGACCTCGGAAGGAGCGATCTAATCCAACATCACATTAATGCTGGTTCTGCAGCACCCTTTCGACAACCACTTCGCCGCACAGCACCAGCCAGAAATTGAACAACAAGTGGATCGTCTGTTGAAGAAAGGGATGATAGAAGAATTAACAAGCCCTTGGTCATCAAGTGTTGTACTAGTCACCAAGAAGGATGGGACTCAGATATTATGCATTCATTACAGACAGCTTAACAATATAACAGTTAGGGATGCTTTTCCACTCCCAAGAGTTGATGATTCTCTTGATTGTTTGTCTGGAGCTCAATGGTTTTCTAAAATTGATATGGCGTCAGGTTATTGGCAGGATGCCATGGACACTGAAACAAAGGAGAAAACAGCATTTTCTACCCAAAGTGGACACTTCCACTGGAATGTCATGCCAATGGGCCTAACCAATGCACCAGAAACATTTGAACGACTTATGATACTAGTCCTTAAGAGAATAAAGTTTAAGATTTGTTTATGTTATTTAGATGATGTGATCATTTTTGCAAGTTCTTTTCAGGAACATTTGACACGACTGGAAGACGTTCTTGAGAGAGTGGAATCAGCAGGCCTGAAACTAAAACCCAAGAAGTGTGATCTGTTCATGAAGGAGACCGAATACTTAGGTCACGTGGTAAGCGAAGATGGAGTTAAAACTGATCCCCGCAAGGAGGAAAAGACTACTAACTGGCCAGTACCTGAATCACCAACAGAGGTAAAAGAGGTTTTCTTGGATTAGCATCATGCTACAGGCGTTTTGTTCCTGGTTTTGCTTCAGTTGCCAAACCATTGTATCAACTTACTGAACACAAGTTGAAGCAATTCCAATGAACCAGTGACTGTCAGCATGCTTTTGACCAATTAAAACAGTTGTTGACTAACTCACCAGTTTTAGTTTATCCAAGGATGGACGCACCCTTCATTCTTGATACCGATGCCAGTAATCACGGCATCGGGTGTGTTTTGTCACAGACACAGGACGGTGTCGAAAGGCCTGTAGCATTCTCTTGTTGCACTCTCTCTAAGTCAGAACGTAACTACTGCACTACGCGAAAGGAACTTTTGGCTATCGTGGAATTTATGGAACGATACAAGCACTACTTACAGATCAGCAAGTTTACGGTTCGAACTGACTATGCACCATTGAGATCTATCTTGAAAACTAAGGAACCTGAAGGTCAACTGGCTCGTTGGGTTGCCCTCCTCAGCACCTTTGACTATGACATCGTGTACCGTCAAGGACAGCAGCACTGCAATGGTGATGCAATGTCCCGAATACCTTGCACAGAAAGATGCAGATGGTGTCAGAACCACACAAAAGGTTTAACTACAGTTGAAGTTGGAACACAGACAGACTTGTCTGGTCACCCGTCGGTTACGGACATTGATGAACAGCTGAGTCAACCATCAAATAACGTGAAGGAACCTCGAGTTACCGCATGTACTGTTAAGATTGAGCCTGAATGGACCTACCAGTACTTGGCACAGCAACAAATGGCTGACCCTACACTTATGATTTTTATCGAGCTGATCTTCTAGCGAGCGCCCTTCTTGGGAATAAGCATCACAAGAAAATACCACCTCCACAGCTTGGGCCCAGTGGGACCGTCTGAAGGTACAAGATGCTGTTCTCTACCGGAAATGGAAAAGTGAGAGCGGAGATGAATTGACATATCAGATTGTGCTACCCTGTAACCTACGAGAACAAGCACTAGCGGCTCATCACAACCACACAACAGCAAGCCATCGTGGTGTTCTTAAGACTCACTTGCTCTTCGATTTGCCTGGTCTAACTGCTCAAGTCTATAGATGGGTCGCTCGTTGTCATGAATGTGGAGCTAAGAAGAGTCCAGGAAAGAAACGACGTGCCCCCTTAAAACAGTACATCGTTGGAGCGCCCATGGAAAGGATTGCAATGGACATCCTAGGACCCTTGCCGGTCACACAAAGAGGTAATCGGTACATTTTGGCTATCTCTGATTATTTTACTATATGGACTGAAAGTTGTGCTATACCTGACCAAGCAGCAACTACAGTCGCCGAAAAGGTAGTATCTGAATTTGTGTGTAGATTTGGAGTACCAAGACAAATACACAGCGATCAAGGGACCAACTTCGAGTCTAAAGTTATGTCCGAAATTTGTACACTTTTGGACATTGAAAAGACAAGAACTACCACATTACATCCTCAATCTGACGGACAGGTGGAGAGATTTAATCGCACCTTAATCGAGATGCTT